TCAGAATACTCTGTACGTATTTCGGAAGCCGTTGAAGCCTAATCTGGCGTAGTACGGAGTCGTCGAGTGTGGTGTTGCCGACTAACGCACACATTTGACTCAACAACTGGGACGGTTTGAGGTTTCCCAATTAGATCCCTGACAGGAGGAGCTGGATGCGCTTCTCTTCGGAAAATGCCATACGAGGAAGAAGTGCCTCTTTGAGCACGTCGTACGGGTTGTGCGCAGGGATATTCATGTACACATCCCTGAAGTTGATAAGCATGTCGCGCGGGATCGCGGATAACAGCTTATAATAACGGGACAGTTGCCCGGTGATGCGAGCTTCATGGAATCGCGATTCCGGAAGTGAGAGGAATGCTTCTGGATCCTCCGGCATGAACTCAGGAGCCCTGATTTGGTCCCAGAATGCATCACCGTCTATGGGGTGCTTATGATCGGGGCTAATCATACTTAAGCGCAAATACATAATATGCGATTTTCGAACGGGCTACAAAACTATTACGGAATAGAACCTAAGATACCAACTACGTTGGAAAAACGAAAATGGAAAAAAGCGCAATAGTAAATGATGATAAAACCGCAAACTGGGTGAATATAATCTAAAATTGCAACTTGAGTGTTTCCATTAAAATAAATACGCGGGAAATTTGGCACAAACGTGACCTAGAGAAAGTACAATTCCTCCAAAAAAAACAGTTCTGCAACGTAAACAAAATAAAATGAAGGCTCACCAATTTGTGATAATTAGGTTATCGGTACCCCGGGCTAATACGTATAAGTCGCAAACGTACGTTTGTACGAGGAGAGAACGAGGCAATTCACGAAACGGAGGACGACGTGTATTATAAAGACCTGCAGAGCAAGAGAAAGATGCAGAGGCGTGAGCAAGCGTGCGGAAAGTAAAAGCAAACAAGTGCTGACCGAAGAAGTGGCCTTGGTGTGATAAACAATGAGATGCACAGGAGGAAATGTACATTGAGAACGGGACGTGATTGGCTACTTCATCACCTAGGTCTGTACGCGACTTCCAATTGATGATCAGGTATGCGGTCTAAATAGCCCTTTCGAAAGTGGTCGTTCAATAAACTATTCTACCTATTAAACAAATTTGGTTCTCGCATAAACCTGCGTTTTGAGCATTCTAACCTCCGAATCACTAGCTCGTAGTTGTTCGGCAGGGTCTCTGGTTTGGTGTTCCACGTTAATCTGATGCTAAATCGTTTCCCGTCATGGTTTATCGATTTCTCTGTTATTTGTACCGCTCGACGATCCTCCTCGGAGTAATTTATGACCATCCTGTGCAGATCTTTAAACTCCTTGTTGTATACATCGTCCAAAATGATGCTAGTTTTACTCGCTCGAGTAACTGTAAACATTTATTTGCAGGCTGTTATGCTCATAGACGGTCATATAATCAACCGTCCGAACGCAGTTTCGATCGCAAAGAGCTCGTGTGGCCCATCATATCGACCATTAATCACCCAATGAGCTTGGGGGACATCACAACGAATGATCAATTAAATCCTAGGGTTAGTCAGATGCTCCTTTTCTATACCCTTAATGTGGGTTAATCGAGCCGTTTTTTTCTTAGCCGGTACCTGAGCTCTTGGGATTATTAGATCGTCCACGGTGTATGCAGTGCTTCCCTTAATGCCTTTATCACCCCAATTGCGTGCGCTTGAGCTCGTAAGTTCAATACGCGTATCAAATTACACCTTCGCCGTGAGCTAGCACAAACGGGCTTGAACTTTGCAATAACGATCACTCCTCAACTGGAATGAACAAATTCGCACGCGCTATCGACAACTTTCGAACTCAAACGAACGTATTCAACCCGATAACGAAAATCGATCCCAAGTAACCGAAACACACGTGAACGTGCAATGAAAACACGAAAAGATACTTCATATACGAATATTAACGAAATAAACGGTACATGAAACGGACTCCCAGAAAGATTGGCTGGCTGGTTGATTGGTCCTGTTCTTCAGGTGTGTGGCTCCGGTTGACAGTGTGCGGTACGGCTGGAATAGATGGCTGCGACAGTTAGCGGACCGCTTGACGATAACTGCTTATGCACGCGTAATGCTTCAGTAACACTTGGAGAACACGTGCGCAGTTACGGAGATAATTTGTATTGTGGTGTTACCTGTTGTGCATATTAAAACAAACTGTAAAAACCTATCATATGAAAGTGGAAGTAATGAAGAGAGCAATTAGCCTCATAAGATTAAAAAAGAGAAATAAACTGAACTTAAAACGGTAAACAGAATCCTCAAAGGTTTTTCCCCTACGTTCAATCGAAGTACACCTTGAATGACTCCATACGTGCCTTCGTTCTGGAACACAACACGGTGGCGGCAAACGACCAGTAGCACTAGGCAATTATTTCGCTAGTGTTCATAGCATAGAAAACCAAAAATTAGAACCTAGGTGCCCGAACTTTCTTCCACAGGGCATAAGGGAGATTCACATATGTACAGTGGAAATGCAAAAGATATCAGTGGAGTTGGACATAAATAAGGCCGCGGTTCCGAATGGCATATACCCTTCCATTGTGAAACCTGTTGCCGAAATCCTAACAGATACCTTAAGGATGCTGTTTCAAAAGTCTCTGGAGGAGGGCATGCTTCCGGGCGACTGGAAAACTATCGTTGTTGTGGCGTTACACAAAGGTGGTGGTAGAGCTAACCCGCAGCACCACAGACCGGTTATCTAAACTAGTATTTTATGCAAGTGCATGGAAAAGCAAATCAACACTCATATCTGTACCCATTTCTTAGTGTATGCATAAATTAGCTTGGCCGAGAATGATTTTGTGAAAAACCGGTCGTGCATTACAAACCTCTTATGCTACCTAGACGAAGTCCATGAGAGGGTAGACGAAAGCAGATAGGTACAGCTGTGTTACCTAGATTTCAGTAAGGTGTTCGATTCCGTAAGTCATAGACTGCTTCTACACAAGTTACGTTTCTTCGGAAGCACAGGAACAGTATATAAATGATCAGAAGCATTCCTGACCAATCAGATATTCTGAGTTATGGTAGAAGAACAAGCGTCCGAAGTCCTTTATGTCACTAGTGGCGTGCCACAAGTGTCGCTAACAGGTCCGCTTCCTTTGCTGTTATTCATAAATGATCTAGCAGAAATTACCATCTCACCTTGCTTCATCTTCACTGATGATGTAAACGTGGTTGGATCTAGTGGGAGATCAGACTTTGAAGAGGATATTTCAAAGGTGGTCAAGTGGTCCCACACATCGGATCTGCCACTAAACGCAACAGAGTCTACAACTAGGGAACCATTGGAGGCCCTAGGTTATTGGAGGCAATTCGAAGTAGGCACTGTAACTAGTGTCAGGGATCTAGGAGTCATGGTAACTGCAGATTACAGTTGGAGTACTCATTGTGAAGCTGCAGCACACATGGCTAGACGACAGCTGTTTCGACTAAGGTCAGCAGTTTCGTGTAGGAAAGCAGAGGTGTTTATACCTATATACAAAGCCATCGTAAGGCCTCATCTAGAACAATGTGTTCAGGCTTGGTCGCCCTTTTACAAAAAGGACGCACCGTATCTGGAGAAGGTCTAGCGACTAGTAACATGAATGGTTGATGGTATGCGGGGAAAAACATACATACGCCTCTTGTCTTTTTTCACTGGAAAAGAGGGAAATGCGCGGAGGCCTCATCAAATTATTTAGGATTAGGAGAAATTTGCTGGGTTTAGATCCGGGGTCCCTCTTCACTGAGGCTCCCCACCAAGTAACGCGTTGTCATCAGCACAATTTTATTAAACAGCGTTCTATACAGAACCCGCGAGCACATTTCTTTAGAAATAGGGTAGTGAATAACCGTATTCGGCTACCGTCTGAACTGATCGAGCAGCCAAACGTCCAAGCGTTTAAAGAAGCTATGGACACCCGATAGTTTGAGGTTTTCCTCTTAAGTTAACCCCGTTTCTCTCTGGACATCATCGTTAAGTCTGCTGCTATGCCTTGGTTGGAAAGCATGGAAAGTACCTGACACGGTGTTTTGGAAGCGTTTGACACAAGAGCATCTGCTAAACCTGCAAGCCCGACGGAAGTGGTTGCAAAGAGAACGGTCGCTGAAGGTTGGAGACGTTGACCTTATGGCCGACAAAATGCTACAATGCAACAACTGCTAATACATAGAGATCTCGATGAAGGAACGTGCAATTCATCGGAGGTGAAGATCGATGATTGCGGCGAAGGTTGAACGGTTTGTAATTAGCAGAAGGGGTTAGGTGGGTGGATAGATAGGAAAGAGTCAATAAACTGCGCCAATTCTTCAACTCAGACGAGCGCAAGAAGCATTTTGTCGGCCGGTGCAATTCATGTTGATTTTTTTAAAATCCTTCCACACCCACGGTGATTCTATGTGAAATAACTCTTTCCGTGTGTTGCTTCTCCATTGACATTTCTCAACCACAAACAACCAAAGTTATTCTTTATCTGTTGATTTGATGCCCACCACATTTCAGCTTCACGTGGATAGAGAACGTGAGCGGCGTTTTGGCTCTCCCTGGACATCATATTTGGCTGGATTGCTTTAGTGTTTCTGACCGCAAATTCGAGGTTTTCTTTATTGTACATTTTTTAATCATTTGCCTAATTCAGTAGCGTCGAACACTACGAATCAATTGTGTTTTGTTTTGGGATTTGTATTGATTTTGGCTACGTGTCTTTCAGGTGCGATTTAGTTAGCGTACGTTAATTGCCTCCTATAAGTCCTCCGATGATGGATCCCTACAATTTTGAGATCATCCGCTAATAGATCTCAGGTATCCGGAGAACCTCGATGACGTCATTTACTTACAGCACAAATAGTATGGGATCAAGGTCTGAGCCCTGAGGGACCCCACTACAGGGTGCTGCCGTTTCCAAGTTTTCCTGTTCCACCATTACATGGAACATCATCTCCTGCAGGTACGCTTCGATCCATCTCACTACCTGCTGGTTTATCCGCAGGACTTCCAGTTTGCGCAGGGGTAACCTATGGTTGATCGAGTCGAAGGCTTTCCTGAAATCAAGGTAGCAAACTTTGACTCGATCCTTTGCGTTAAATCTTTCTGTTACCTCGTCCGGAAATGATGGGAGGTTATTGAGGCACAACTTTCTGTTAACGGAGCCGTGTTTCTGGTCTGCCATTATGTGTTGTTCGTCCAGATATTCTACCAACTCTTCCCTAAGGAGACGCTCGAAGGGTTTCAGGACTACCAAAAGTAGGCTCATTGGTCGATAGTTCGAAGCAGCTGCCCTTGACCCACCCTTGTGGATTGGCACCACTTCTGCCGTGGTCCAGTCGGACGGCAGCGTTTTTGAGGCATGAGATCAGTTGAGAAATAGCGCCAGTGCACCTGCAATTATGTCAGCAATGTGAAGCAGGATTTCTGGATGCAACCCATCCGGGCCCGCAGCCTTGTTCTGGT